GCAACACCCCCCTCAAGTGTATTTAGAATAAACCTGAGCATAACTCTCAGGATGAGCCTGCAAAGGATAACTACCCTGGCAGCTGGCACACCCCATCAAGGAGAAATGGAAGGTCTGCTCAACCAGTGAGCACATCTGACCTGTAATTAATATGGAGGCTGCCAACAAACACACCCCATGTGCTGCTGGAACGACCTCACTACTGCTCCCCAGCCCAGCACCTGACTTTCTCCCTGCTTCCGGCGGGGGCGGGTGTGCGTATACACACCAGGGCCAACACCAACTTATGCTGAATGGCACACTGCAACTCCAGGTGAGTTGGGAAACCAGAGTGAGGGTCATTGCCCAGCGGTTCATTCACCTCTCCTGTGGCCAAGGCAACGAAGTTTTCCACAGTCTTTGGGACGGTCTTCCCAAAAAGGCCAATCACGACCCGGCCAACATCTTCGTCCCCGATCCGCAGATCAAAATACACCTGTGGTACAAGGGAAGCAATGTTAGCCAGGGATTCCTGTTTCTCCTGTCATGGCGTGGCACTTGGAATACGAAATGGAGCCAGTCGGATGACACCTCCCCACCATGCCAGGCCCAGGCACTGAGCCTATCTGGCTGGCTGGCTAGCTGACAGCAGCTCCAGCTCATGGGATCCAGCTGCAAGTCAGCCTTTGAGCTGTAAATCATCCCAACTCTGAGAAGCAGCATGAGGGGCAGAGGATTAAGCTCAACATCGGGAGGGGTTAGAAAGCTCAGAGCTCTTTAGTGTTCATTTGGCTGCACCTTGAAGACCTTTCCACAGCAACCCCATCCATTTGGAGCACAAGTAACCCCATCAAACCAAATTATCTGCCCTTTAGGGCAGGGCCTGTGTCTTTTACTCTAGGGCTATATTCAGAGCTATGCACCTTTCTATTCCTGAGACTCATGCACCAGCTGGCTCTTAAGCCAAGCTTGGCAGGGGTTCCTGCCTAAGGAATCTTGGCTATCAGGTCCCCCGCCCCCAATGCCTGGCATGGAGTCAGCAAGATGGCAGCAGGCTGAATGGATTCAGAGAGAATTGCCACCAGACTTTTTGCCACCAGAGCCCTTGCTTTTGGGGCTCCCATTCCTAGAACAGCGCTGGGCTCAGCTCACAGGCTGGCCTGCCCCTTCCCTGCAGCCCCACACCCGGGCACGGGGGACTGCGGCAGATCCCAGACTCCAGCTGTTTCAAGGAACCCGGTCATCTCACCCTCTGCCCTCCGACAGACCCTCCCGCTGACCCCATCTGTGCCCGGCGCGTGCCACTCGGCCCGGGTTGGGGCAGGGCTCCGGAGAGGCCGGGGTTAACCGAGCCACCGACAAAGGCCGGCGGCACCTCCAGCTCCCCACCCTTGGCGCCCGCCGCCCCTGTTGGCTGCCCAGAGGAGCCGTGGCCGCGCGAGCCCGGCGGGAAGGGATGGACCCCGCGGCTCCGGGGCACCCGTCTGAGCCTTCCCCAGGGAGCGAGCAGCCCGCGCCCCCTCCCTGCCCCGACCCACCCCCACCCGGCCAGACCCGGCCTCGGGACCCACGAATTGCCGGGGGCCGCCCCGGCAGCGCGGCCACGGCTCCAGGGCCGCTAGGCCAGGCAGCGGGCACCGCGCCCCGCTCTAGGGGAGCCGAGTCCGGCCTGCCCCGGCTGGGGTGCGGGGCTCGGGGCCCCGAGGAGTAAGGGGGTTGGGGGCTGAGCCGGCAGGGGCGGGGACCCGGGGGGCAGACTCCGGGCGGGGTAGGGGGCCCGGCGGGGGGAGACCAGGGGGCCCTGGGAGGGGTTCCGGGAGGGATGGGGCGGGGGGGGGGGGGACGGCCCACCTTGGCGGTGACCTTGGGCCCCTTCTTGCGCTCCTCGGCCCGCGAGGCGGCCGGCAGCAGCAGCACCAGCAGCGACCCGCCCAACAGCGCCGCGGCCACCAGCAGCTTCATCCTCCTGCGCTCGCAGCCCGACCACAGCGCCCGCCGCGCCGCCAGCATCCGGGACCCCCGCGCGCCGCTCGCCCCCCCCCACCCGCGCGCCCACTCCCAGCCCTGCGCCGCCCGGCCCGAGGCGGATACGCCTCCGCTCCCCCGCCCTGGCAGTGGTACGGCCCGAATCGCTCTGCCGCCTACAGGCGCCGGACTGAAGGAACAAATCGATCCCGAAGGGGAGGCGACGCTCTTCCCCCCCGCCCAGCGAGCCAGGGTAGCGCGTTCCACTGCGGACAGAGGGGGATCAGGAACCGGCCCCAGAAACTGCCACGTTTCCAGTTTCTCATTGGGCCACGTCTTAGCCAATGGGAAGCGGGCACGGAAGAACGGGGCGCGGCGCGCGCCGATTGGGCCCACTGTCATCCACGAGGGATAGCGCCCAGGATGCACGGCGCGCCCCATGCAAGGACTACATCTCCCGGCAGGGAGCGCGCGGCTGAGCCGTGGGGCTGCGACCCCCGGGCCGGGCGCTGCCGAAACCGGCGGGGTGACCAATGACAGTATGTCCCGTGTGGCCGGGGCGGTCTCTTCTCGAATCCCAGTCCCGGCCGGCCTGACTCTTCTGGCAGAAGTGGGGCGTTTGTCCCACTTGTTCTTGCCCACTGGGTCAGGGGGCCGGGGCACATGCCCACTTTTGTCCGTAGTCGGGGGTGGAGGAACGGGCGAGGGCAGGGGAAGTGCCCGCGCCAGACCCCCGCAGGGAAGGAAGCAGGCTCAGGGCAGGCAAGACCGGGGGAGGGGAGGAGAGGAGGACTTGGGCTAGCACCACATGGTGTCCTGTTTTTCTTTTGGGAAATATGATCACCCTACAAACTGGACCCTGACCCATAGTGAGCAGGGGGCTCTTGGCTATCTGGCGTGGTTCCTCAGCTCTCTGCAAGGAGACAGACGAATGCTGCAGCTTGGTACTACCTGCGTAGGGGCCCTTAGTAGGAATATATTCCCCCCCCCCCCACTAAAACAGCCAAGTTCTTACAATAAAAAGTGAATATGGGCCTTTTCGAGCTGCTCAGAGCCCTAAACATAAGAACAGCCATCCTGGCTCAGACTAAAGGTCCATCTAGCCCAGTATCCTTCTTCCGTCAGTGGCCAATGCTAGGGGCCCCCTGAGGAAGTGAACAGAACAGAGCTCCATCCCCCATCGGCAATTCCCAGCTTCTGGCAAACAGGCTAGGGCCACCATCCCTACCCTCCATGAATTTATCTAGTTCTTTTTTGAACCCTGTTAATTAGTTTGTTTGCTAATGCCTAGCCCTGGCTCTGGGCTTGAGTGTCCAGGGCTGAGTTACTCCTACAGCACACAAGGGAAAGCAAGAGGTAGTGTAACCCACTGCGGGAACTAGAGCTTAGCCACATGGATTCACTCATTTGTGGTAGGGATGCATTCAGGACCCAGCTACAGCTAGTTACAGCAGAGACAACGAGGAGTTCGGTGGCACTTTAAAACTAACAGATTTATTTGTGCATAAGCTTTTGTGGGTAAAAAACCCACTTCTTCAGGTGCATGGAGTGGAAATTACAGATGCAGGCATAAATATACTGACACATGAAGAGAAGGGAGTTACCTTATAAATGGAGAACCAGTGTTGACAAGGTCAATTCAATCAGGGTGGATGTGGTCCACTCCCAATAATTGATGAGGAGGTATCAATACCAAGAGAGGGAAAATTGCTTTTGTAGTGAGCCAGCCACTTCCAGTACCTATTCAAGCCCAAATTAATAGTGTTAAATTCGCAAATGAATTGTAGCTCTGCAGTTTCTCTTTGAAGTCTGTTTTTGAAGTTTTTTTGTTGAAGGATGGCTACTTTTAAATCTGCTATTGGATGTCCAGGACGATTGACTCTGGACTCCTCGTTGTTTTTGTGGGTACAAACTAACACTGCTACCCCTCTGAAACTTAGAGCAGAGAATCACTCCTGGAGCCCAGCACTCTAAACCCAGCCTTTTCCCATACTGGGGTGCACTACCATGCTGTAGGGGACACACTGCCAGAGCTGCACAGGTGGATGGAATCCCAGCTCAGCAAATACTTCACCATATTCAAAGGCCTTCTCTAAAGTAGGATTTAAGGTATGATAGTCTCATGTGTTAGCAGAAAAGACCCAAGCATTTTTGGAATCAAACATCACATGTCTCTCTCTAACCTATTGTAAAATACTAGTACAGCAGGCAGGAAGCATGTCTGGGCCTTTAGCTTTTCCTTTGTTTGGGTACCTTCAGCTGTAAGTACAACTGAAATGCAGGATGACATCACTGGAAGTAGCCTTACATGTATCTAGAGGAGAAACCCCAAAACAACATGTTTAATTTTCACTGACAACATAGAACCCAAAAATGTTAAGAAATATAAAAGCAGGAAAGCACTTGTATACAGAGGTCCCTAAGGCCCTGTTAGAAGGGGCTCAGAATAATTTGTGCCTTTGCAATGGAATGACCTCTAAACTACCTCAGCAGCAGGAAGCTCAAGATCTGCCCCCATCTTGAGGCATCAACAACAACTGAAGCACTAGGGCAACTGAGCAGCATGCTGAGATCCTGTCATCAGTCCACCTAACCCAAGTGTCCTGTGAGAGTGTGATGGTCTTTAGGGGCCCTATGTAACTCTCATGAAGGAGCAAAAGTGATCAGGGAAAAGGAAAGTTTGCTATTCAGGTCGCTTTGAGCACTATGATGGGCTGCTAATGGTAATAGGGTGGTCTGCCTAGCTACTAGATTTTTTTGCCTGCACTAAAGTTTTCATGCTATTTTCCAAAGCTGTGTGAATTACATTTAAATTTTTCAGATGAACACTTCCTCTGGAGAGGAGTAAGACTGGTAGGTATTTGGTCCTACTGGTATTTGCCTGGTTGGGGTAAGCATACTCCCTTGTTGCTACTGATCAACAGTGCATACAAGCTTTGCACCACAGGAGCAGCTGCCTCCATTTGCCTGATATTTCAAATGGGAAAGTTGGCCCATATTGGATCCTGAATGCACATATCAAACTTTATAAAAGACTAAAGAGTGGGAACAGAGAGTAAAGGTAAGACATTTTATTTTACATACAAAAAGGGTGCAAACGGGAGCCCCTGCCCCCCAAAAGGGGAAGGGGGGTAATTAAAGATCACATTTGTTGTGTTTCTCATGATGCCCCAATAAATGGGCAAATCAGAAAGAGAAACCAACAGTAAGCAGGACCCATTTTCTTGATGGAAAGGAGCTCCCCTTGGAGGGGTCTTCCCCATGATATAAGCCCTTATCCTGGTTGAACCATTTCAAACACATTTTAAATTGACATTCATGTTAAAAAATACTACAAGTTCCATGTTCACAGCTGAGCTTTGAGACCAGTGCCTGAAATATGAATAAAACATTGCATTACATATTTAAAACAAAAGATAAAAAACTCAAGGCATTTTAAACAAGAATCAGACATCCACGCAATATTTAAAAAATGATTTCCACAGCTGATTTTCATGTATTTTACAGTAAAAAAAGTTGCAATTAACATTCCCTCAGAAGTACAAAGGGCTAAATTAAAGTAATAGACAAAATAAATTATAGCTTGTAAAGTTTCCAGTGGGAATTAATCACTTGACAGTATTTTTTATTTGGGGATTTGTGGTTTATAATGTATTTGGTATAATCTACATGTTCCCAGAGGATATTCTTCTCTCTGTCTCATAATTACAAATAAGACTTTATCAGTACCAGCTTGCTGTTCTAATTTGGGAAGAGAGAACTTGTCACTTGTTTTCTTACAAGAACACTTGGAAAAACCAGGGTTCTCAGAGTTGTTTGCACTGTGCAGCTAGAGCTATACAGGTGGGAAACGAGCATCTACTGTGAAGATAATTTTCCTGAGACACTCTCAAAAGGATTAGACATGTCTTTTAAAGCCTTGTCCTGCCTGTATTCCTCCTGGCTTGGCTTGCACCTGTGATTTGGGCAGGCCAAAGACATAACAGAGAACTGTCCCTTTTCTGGGTGGTTTCTCCCTACTCTTGGCGATCAGAACTAGGCCCTTACTTCAATTGGTATTAATTCAGTGAGGTCCCAAGGCTCTGATCTCTTGCCGTGAAAATACTTGTGATGTACTAAAGAGCATGTTGGGACTGCCCCAGAAAGGTAGGGAGAGGAGTGAGAAAGGAAAAAAAATCTTGGTCAGAGAGTTTGAAGTCTCTTTAAAATATGAAGTTTGGTCAACCAAACTAGAAACCCACAGAGAAGTGTTCACTGTTATTTCAGACTCTGAAGCCCAGCTTCACACACACCTTTACACACAAATACTGGAGTGGGTTTCCTTTTGGATGTGGGGAATACATTTTTCATGTTCTCTATTCAAATAGATCTGAATCAGAATCTATCACCTATACTGTACGACTATTAAACTGAAGCCTGAAAAACCAATTCTGTTGCAGTCAGTTACCTGAAAATGTAACTGAAAACACCCAACACTTTAAAACCACGTACTCACTCAAGTACAGGAAGAGTCCTAGGGCACGGTACCGCCAAACACTGTGCAAATTGCAAGCACCCTGCAGAGGGGAATGCTCACCTAGAAGTTGGTAACTGAAACTTCACTTTCAAACCAACCGTTCTTGACAAAGAGATGGAGCTGGCAGCTGGCACCCGCATTCAAGACTTTCCCTGAAACCTTCAGTGGTATTGTGGAAAAGTAAAGTTTCCCCATTTATGGTGCCTTTAGCACTCTCTGTCCCTCTCTCTCTCACACATGCTGGTTTGCAGGGGAAAACAGGATGGCAGCTATGGCTGTATGGACACTGTTCTTAGGTGTTCAAACAGCACTCCCTCCAAAACACAATCTGAAATAACAAGCACTACCAAGGGAGGGCTCAGCTCAGCAGTCTCCAGCTTGCTCTTTATTAACAGATGCCATGCAACAAGCTCAGGGACCCAGGCATGTTACTCATGTCAGAATCCTAAGTCAAAATGGAATACTATGAAGTTACTGCTTGCTAATTGGTTACTGGAAACAATCAAACCACAAAAGAGGAGATGGCCTCATATAGATGTTTTAAAGGGCCAGGGGAAAGACATTTTGAGGTTTCTTTTCCTTCTCAAAGAGCACTAGTGCTCCTGGGAGCAGTGATTCTGGAAACTAGGTGATACAGTTCATGCTAAAAGAGTAATTACTTTGAAGGTTGTGATCAAGTAGGAGTAAGGTTTCCAGCTAAGCAGACCCTGGCATTAAGCAGTTACTAACACTGAGAATCATCACGGACAGAATGCTATATGTGCTTTTTCTGTTTAAGTATACTGAAAGCTACTTTTAGAAGATGCTTCTTTTGGCTAATAAAGAGCAGCTGCTTTAATGCATTTTTTCCAACTGTACTGAGAATAAATAAGCAATTGCTATTTGCATGCTGGAAACCTCTTGATCATGGCAGTTCAGCAGATTAGTTGATTCATTTCAACTACCCAAGCATTGCTTACTAGATACCTGGTTCACAAGCACCTGTCCCCCACTTTACACACAACAGAGCAGCTAAATTATGGACAGACAATGAGGAAGACAATGCTCAACATGAGTGCAAGTCATTCCCACCCTCCCTCATGGACTGGGGTTTCACAAGGTTGCACACAACATGCTGATGTTATGTTCTGCTTAGATTCTGATGTGGTCTGAGCATAACTCCAGAGTTCAGCTAAAGTGAGAGCTGCTGCTGAATTTTCAGTTGATGTAGTGGTACAGCCTTTCTGTAGTGTACTGGCCAGGAGGCAGGAGTAGGTCATGCCCTTGCCATATGGGGAAGACACATTTGATGTTTTGCCACACTGTAGTTGATATACAAAAGGACTACTGATTATGCTGCATGTGGTTAGCACATTTCTGATTAGTTCACATCCATTTGTGTCCAAACAACAGACAGCAAAGTCACCAGTGATGGTGCCTGCTTTCTTTTATCAGGGAAGTGGGACGGGGAAGTGTGCGGAGAAGAGGGTTAGTTCCAGCATTCCTTAACCAAGCTGCATAAGGCTGGACTGTTCATGGCTTTAAAGAAATAAAAAGAATTTCAAAAGCTCCCACACTGTACATGGTCCCCTCGAAGAGGGTTTCAGAGGTTCTTTAATACAGGATGGAAGGGTTACCAAGAGAGTCCAGATTGAAGCAAAGAAAACATCCATAAGTAAGTGTTCTCAGGAAGGGGTAATAATTACATCTATACATGGAGTTCAATACAGCAGTGCAAAATTTTATTGAAAACCTCACTTGAGACCTCAGGAGACTGCAATGGAACTTTGGTGGGTCCCTGCTGCAGGGGAACCACATCTGGAAATCCAGCTGTAGTATTAGGCCATGCGAAGGAAGCATAGGACAGCCAGATGATGCTCCTGCGCAGCAGCTCCACTGGCCAGCTGTGATCTGAGATTCTCTCCTCTCATTTTCTTGGAAGTATGCAGGTATATACCAACTAATATATTAGTTTCCAGTGGGGAGGAGAGGCAGGGAATTAATGTAGGTGGGTTTAATGCTCTAATTCCTACTGTAAGATGGCCCGCTCGATCTGGTTTTTATCACCAGTCACTTCTTGAACTTTATGGGTTCGAATAGTTTCCTTAGAATAGGATTTACTGTTTACCCGCTTTTTACATCCTTTGCCCTTCTGGAGAGTCCAATGTATGACTATAGTGCAAGAGGGCTTGGTATAATTGAGCATTACCAGCATGCCTTGGGGAGATACATTCTCTCCCCTTCATATACATCATCATAGGATTAAAAGAACATCAACTCCCCAGAGCAAAGCACTAGTGTGGTCAACATGAAATAGCTTTCAAACTGACCCACTTAAAAACAAAGGAAAATTTCTACCAATCAAATACATTCACTTACTTAAAAATAATATTTAAGAACAAAAACAAAAAAAAATGCAGAGACACTTCCCTCCCCATACATACTTTGCAAACTACAAGCTACTCCCTGATTGGAAATAGTTAGGAATGACTGAACAATGTCAGGAAATGCAGAAGGAATTGAGTTTCTCCTCTGAGTTTTGGTGACAGGCACTTAATGGGGTTTAGGAGGGCAGCAATGCTTGTGTCTCAGGGCCCAGTACAATCTGGAGAGCTGGGAGCATACAACTGCTTTCTCCCCACAAATTCCTGCGCCTCCCTCCCCCCAAGATGCCGAACCATGGTTTCCTATGGTGAGGGTATGAGGAAATGCTCATTTCAAACAGCCTGACTTCTTCGAAAGTCAACAGCAGTAGAAGAGTTCAGGAAGAGGCAGAGCGACAAAACTAAGTGATTAAATGTCCCCTACCCTCCTCTCCTTGGGAGAAAGAAAAAGGGTTAGGGAGTCCAAGCAGCCACACTCATGGGGAATGGAAAGCCCTTTCCTTTTGCACCCCACTTGTTACACTTAACGGAAAAGTTCTTGCAGAATTAAAAAGGTGGGTTTACAAATCTCTTGGTGGGTTAGTGAATGAAGAGCAAGCTAGCCCCCAGCTTAACTTCACCCCAGTGGCGGAGAGAGGAAAGAGCAGCAAAACGCTTGGCTATATCCGCTTTCTTTTCATTTGGATAAGGCATTAAGATCCCAGCAGAAAATGGCTAGCAGCTGAGAAACACCCCAAAGGGATTCTCTGGGAGAGCAGAATCCTCACGATAGAAAAAGGGGCTGAGTTTCAAGCTACAAATCCTAACCACTGAACTGAAGCAGCGTGCTCGCCTGCCTTACTGCTGCTCTGCCTGAAGGGGGAGGGAGTCTCTGCCCACCCCTGAAACAAACACTCCTTCCCTGCTTCTTCCCATCGCTTCCCTTTCAGTGCATGTCACTACATGCACTCAGAGGCAGCTGGACCACCATTTTGAAGAGATGGTATATTAGAACCTCCGTACTCTGCCTCTGAATGTAATTCAAGCACTGGGGTGGGAGAGCCCTAATTACATGACAACTACATCCCCTGAAATGAGGGGTCTGATCCCATTCTGATGTGATATGCAAACAGGCAAAGCACGAGGAACCAATTCCTAGCCTCCACAAAAAAGCTTCTTTAGCTCTTGTAAACCTTTGCCACACAGACCCCACACAATTCCCCCGAGGAGTAACTGCAGCTGCCTCTTCAGAGCTCAGCAATCCTTACATTGGGATATGAGAGTTCAAGTGCCCTAAGCCCTTTGCTAAATAATGGTTTGACTCAAGAATGGTGTGTTAAAAAGACCTTAGCTCCCACTACAGGGAGAACTGCATGGTGTGTGCTCCAGGCCCCACAGACAGACCTCTGAGCTTGCACTCAGGCCTAGGCAGCTTGTAGAGCACACTGAAACCTACACAAAGTCTGATTTGAGTAGCTTATCTGGCCACCTGCAGATGCACTCACTGTAAGGCAGTTAAGTGTCCATTCCCTGCTTGGGTAGCTTTGCTCTCTCAAACACTTCCATTGTAGACTATTTAGTAAATTGAAAGGAAGGTGCTTACTCCATAATCAACCTCCCAGAAACCATCTGAGAAGGTTAGGCGGCCACCCTGCCATACAAAATATCTGCAGTTTGGGAAACATCAGGTTTTCAGTTATGTAATCCATATCTGCTTGTCTACCCAGAGAAAACTCCTCCAGCTCAGCGAGGCTGATGCCTCTCCCTGCTCCAACAGAAAGCTAGTGCCCCCCAACTCCAGGCTGGTTATGTCAGGCACCAAGTAGGAAACCATGGTAGGGACATTCACTGGCAGCTACAAAGGGTGATTCAAAATTCAAGTAGGTTTCTCTCAGCGCATGACCAACAATAGGTGATTAGCTTTAGGGTTTTCTGGATGTTGCAAGCAAACCCTCTGTTGAGGACATTCTTTGCACCCCTCCACATTCCAAGCTGAATGTCTGTCTGTGCCGGCATCACTTGTCCATGCGAAAAATCTACAGACACAATATGCATCTGTAATGCTAAAAAATAATAAAAAGTGCAACAATGTCTGTTTCTTTAAAACAATCCGCACTGCTCTGTTACCATTTGGAGAAGGGAGCGAACAAGGAAGCCAGAGAACCTAAGGGACTGGAACAGTAGATTGCAAGTCTCACGCTACAGTATAACTGTTCCCAAGGAGCCTAGGAGGGAGCCTACGTCCCACTGTTGTACCTGGCCAGGCTGGCAGTACAGGCTGATGCTGAAAGGGACTTGGGGGAGAAATTGCCTCATACCAGCCAGGACCTTCTCCCACATGTCTTTCCTGCTCAGACAACCACCTATCACCTCCCCTTAGCCAAAGAAGCCTACCAGGGGTATTTCCATTTGGGAGGGAGGAGGATGGATGGGCAGAGAGAGTGTGAGGGGGAGTAAAGTGAGCAGGAAACAAAGCATAGTTCTCAGGTTTGTGTGAATGATGCCTTCTGCCGTAAACAATGGGAAGGAGGGTCAGCCAGCCAGCCCACCTGCCCACTGGGCAACCAAGGCCTGAGCCAGCTGCAGTCCTGATCCCAAAAGGAGCTTCAGGCTTGGAGCGAATGAGGAAACCATGGAGCAGATCCACCCCAGAGCGGTTTGTTTTGGAACTATTTTCTTCTCTCTTTTTGGTTTAAAATGTCACTTGTTTCTCTTCCTCCTACGCCGCCTCCTCCCCCTAGAGAGAAGCTCCTTTCAGTAAGACACGGCAGGAGCTGTAGCTGGAGTTCCTACAAGAACCCAAGAGGCACCTGTCATTTGTGACGCTGGGCAGTCTTCTTCCTTTTCCTCTTAAAGAAGCAGCAGCACCTGGAGCACAAAGAACACAGCAAGTCAGTAGAGTGGACTAGACCCTACAGCAGGCCCCCCGCCACCTGACTTCCATGAACTGCACAGGGTGGGCTTCTTCCCTTCATTCAGAGTACATGCAATGGGATCTCAACATGTCCAGCACTAAGGACAAAACAGACCTACCAACACCTCCTCCAATAGAAGGAAAGTCCACGAGGCCAGCAGCAGACCAGTCTAGCCCGCAATAGAAAGGGCAGCAGTACTGTGCAGACAAGGGCCAATGGATCACCATAAAGGCAGGTATCCAGGTGCTTTCACACACTGGGATTTGCTCTTATGGAAGAGGAGGTTCAACTGATCATTATTATTTATGTTTTGCTGATGCCCAAAGGCCATGCTCAGAATCAGGGACTGGTTGTGCCAGATGCTGTATGAAGCCAAGGTCCCTGCCCCAAGGAAATTAACTGGGAACAAGGAAATAAGGCACAATAGCCAACAGGAAGGCAGATGAAGTCTTGCAGCAGAACAGGGCTCTCCAGTTGCTGGGAGTGAAGGAAACAGGTGAGATACACTAACGGGCTGTTTCCCTCTGCCCAAAACTACTATTTGACTGTGCTCTAAAAGGTGCTGGAATGGTTTGAGCCAGGCCTGACTAAATATTTCCAATCACATGATGTGCTGTGTTTCTAAACTGCTCATGGTAAGCTGAAAAGGACTAGTTCTGAAAGGATCTGATTGGGGGCCAGCTTCCTTTACTGAACCCTTGACTGATGGTAAGTAATAAGAGTTTCAGTTTAAAGACCAATAGTTTAGTCTACAAATATACAACCCCTGCTTCTTCCCTGATCTGGGACAGGGAAGGCTAACAGTGCACAGTGAACAGGGAGGCAAAACCATGGGATGATGGAGATAGAGGTGGTGTGAAATAAACACCCTTCAAAGCTGATCCTTGAAAGATGGAGGTTTCATTTGTGGAATATACTAAAATGAGTCACCCAGTCTGTCAGCTCCAGGTGGTTCCTCAGGAATTACATGGTATTTAAAGACAACTCTGTATTCAGGTTCTAGTGTCAGGAACATCTGCATGGAAAGATCTTTGTACTTAGCAAGTTCACCTGCTCCTGTACTGCTTATCTTCTTCCCCATGACATCACAACCATTTCCTCAGTGACCAGTTGTGATATTAGGATTATGGCCTTTGAGGAGGGAGGAGAAGAATAAGGAACAGGCAGAGAGGTATGCAAAAATCCCGTTTTCATGCAAATACCTCTAACAAGCACACAAGAGCAAAGATATTGAGAAGCTATGCCACAGAATGGCAGCAGCATCTGCAGGCAGACTCATTTGCTATTGGGTCAGTGGTGGCTCTAAACAAGCTTTTAATACTGGTATTTATCTGAGAGCTGAAATATACACTACTGCCCCTGAGGAGTGCATGTCCTCTCCTGTCTCAGCCCAATTACAGGTGATTGAAAATGAGGAATAACTACTTAATTTCCTTATTAAGCACACTTACTGCTAGTGAGAGGTGCTAGACTGGCAGCCCGGGAGAGCGATACCCTCCATGCAGCCATGAGCAGATACAGAGATGGCAACAAGAAGGCAAGTGTACATACACCATGCCTGCTTATGTGCCTCAGCCCTAGCCAGCAGCAATCACCTCTAAGGGTGATGAGCAATTCGGTCTCCATGGCTTATCCTTAGCTTCCCTCCAGAGATTTCCCATGGGAGGGTCAGTTATGGAGTGGGGTGGTGAACATGTGACATGAATATCCTGTCACTAGCAAATGAATGATTTCACATAGGTCCTGGATAGCCATCAGATGGGTAATGACTTTGGTCACTACCACCCTAAGCTGGTTTTGAATGAGACCCCTAGAGGTTCATAAATTGGAAGGCCAGAGGGGACATCTCATCTGATCTCCTGCATAACACAGGCTAGAGAATTTCCTCCTGGTGAAGTGTTCTGTACCCCAGTGTCCTGAGCCACCCATGTGCACTCACTCATTTTAACCATCCAGTAGCACTCTATTTTCCTCCCACAGTAACCACCTTCCTTCAGGACTCAGGCACTAGTAAAAGGAGAAGGGAACTGTTATGGTGAGAAACAGGACAGGAGTATGTCTGAGGGATTACCGAACACATGTATCTGATCAGGGAAGGAGAACCAAGGCCAAGATTCACTCTCTACCCCAGATTTGAAGGGCCTGACTGATTTCTAGCTGCTCTTTTTAGCCATCTCTTTCCTTGGTGATTCCTTTTCTCTCTTTTGGCCCCTGTTGCTCAGACAGAGGGCCCCTTTGCTCAGTTTGGAAGGGTTCAGGAAAGGAAGTCCTGAGAGTTGTTAACACAGGCAGAGGCAGAAACAACAAAATAAAAGAATAAGACAGGCTGACAATTATACAGAATGTGACCTTTGTGCGTGCAGACAATGTTTAAGAACAGCCCCAGAGTACGACACACAGAGAAGCCAAAGAGATGCCAGCGGTACTGGAGGCAGTGCCAGTAGAGAGGAGGGCAGAGAAGGACCAGTCTGCCACCACGCAGGGACATTCTTCACCACACATGGGGCTGTGAGATTTAAACTTCCTACATTCTACTCCTGTCTCTGTAGCTGAACATGGGCTCTCTCAAAACCCACTGTGAGGCTAGATGAACGAGTGGACGGAAAGCCTAGAACTCCTGGATTTTATCCTTGGCTCTGCCACTGATCTTCTGTATTATCTAAGACAACTCACTTCACTTCTGCGCCTCAGTTTCCCCATCTGTAAAACCAGGGGTTCATGTCCCCCTCAAAGGGGTGTCCTGAGGATTACAGTTTAGCTAGCACTCGGAAAGCACTCCACACTATAAAAGTGCTGAGTGTTACTATTTAGGGTCCCCCTGGAACTCAAGGATAATGGTGATAAAGGGGAAGAGCATAACACCAACAGCAGGCTCAGAAAGCAGCTACTCCAGCCTGCATGCCCTCCTAGATGAAAACCCTGGTCTTTCCCCCTCAGTCCTTGAGCTGCAGAAACTTTCTTGAAGGCAACCACCTCCTCCCCACCAACCTGGAGCAAGATCAGGGGTTCTCAGCCTGTGGGCCATGACCACCATGCCCTTCCCAGATTGCCAAATGAGAGGAAGGTCCCAGCTAGGAGGCAGGAGGTCCCAATATGGAAGAGGTTGAGGACCATGGCTCCAGACCACCGCATCTGTTGATGGGAACCCTGCCCTGCTCACTTTCATATAAGCAAGGCTCCCAAGGAAAGAGCCACACGCACACTGCTCCCAGGAGACGGGCATGGTGTACACAGCTTTCCATGCAGAACCATCTGTTGTGAGGAATTCCCGTGAGGGATTTTTCAGCCTGGTTCGGACTCTGCCTAACTCCTTTAGACATTATCTGCTCATACACTTGCATGTTTGGTGAATACATTGAGCTGAACAGATAAAGGAAGAGAAATTTTTTTAGCTTTCAATGGATCAGTCCATAGATTAGTTCAATTGCTTGGCCTACTGCGGCCTCCTCTCACACACACAAGCCCATCCTGCATGTGTTCCCCACCCTTGTAATAGCAATAGCTGCACTGGGTTGGATTTCTAACTTGTGCAGCTATTACACTGTTTTGGTTGGTTTGATTTTGCCAATCCCAGTCTAGTCTGGTCCGCTCCCCCTTGCCCAGGGACTGGAGAGAGGGACTCACCACAAGTTGAGCATTTTCAGGCAGCTACAGAGAGTGTGTAGAGAGAAAAACACAGAAAGGAAGAAAGAGCAATTAGTTCACAGAGATGGGATGAAAGCATGTCACTGCGAGCCATGCAAACATGCAGTGCAGATCGGCAGACACATATGCCTTGCCCACCCACCCTCTCTATTCCCTATTCCATCTGAGCCCCCACAGCTCATTGCAAGAGATACCCTGACAAGTCACTGCTGAGAAGTAGGATGTGTTTTCACTGTCCTGTTGCCTGGGATAAACATACTGGGACATCAGAGTGTCAACAAGGAATAGCCATCAGGGAAGTCTGTGGCTGAGAGCGTGGCTGGCCCACCAGGAAGGGGACCCAAACTACAGACAGTCAGACAAGGGCTTATGGCCTGGATGAGATGCCATGTTGACCACAGCTGCCGGGGAGAGGGAGCCCCTTCATTCACTTACACCACAAGCAGAGTCTGCAGCATTTGCTCTGGCTCTCCCTGCTTGCTCACAGATGGAGAGGTGAGACACAGCCCCACTTTTCCCAACATGCTACCTCAAAAACTGGCAGTGAGCCAGGCAATTCAGCTAGCCCTGGCCCTCCCTCTGAGTGGCCCATCTTACTACAGAACAGTAGCACCAGGCCAACTGGGAGCACATTTCAGGTTGCCTGTGTCCACAAGACCTCCAGCCTCCTGACATACTCAGATAAGTGAAGGGAGGACAAGTTTGGACTTGTGTGACAGAGACAACTTGCAGGGAAAGACGGGGGGACATCTCGCTTATTAACTCTAACCCAGTAGTCTATACCGGGTAATCATGACTAGATCAGCCAGTACAAGAGAGTCTCCACTGGAATGCCACATGATCACCAAAAAGAGACTCAAACCACAAACCTAGGGACTGGAAAGGGGAAACTAACTCCTAACCATCTCATACGGGATGTGTAGGGCACCATTGTCCCTCCTCACAATAAAGCAAACTACTGCTGATGCCAAGACAGGCTAATAGGATATACTGATTATTTGTACTGTGGTGGCACCGAGGAGTCCCAGCGATGGCCCAGGCCCCCACTGTGCTAGGCGCTGTACAGTCACAGAACAAAAAGATAGTCCCTGCCCCAAAGAAACTCTTGCTGATCCTTTCTTACATCTTGCCATAAGCTAGGGGTGGGGCCCAATCTGTGCACAGCTGAGGGCTGTGTTGGTAAATCATCAGGAGGCTGAAGGCCACATCTATGGAATTTGCATAACAGGACTGCAGCCACTCTGCTCTACTAGAGATGTAGCCACGGACTACACATCCCAGCAAGCAATGCAGCATAGTCTCTCCGATCAAGACAGCTAGGACCCATAGTCCCTATTGGCTGCACTGTCCATACTGGGCAGTGGCCAATGCCGCAAGCTGCCCTTTTGTAGCTGCCTAGCTTACAGGAGGCACACAGCCCTTCAGCTCTTGCATCCCCTGGCTGGGAAGGGAACAGAAAGATGTTACTAGGGCTCCTCACTGCAAGATGATTATTGTAGCTCACTACCCACATGGGTCAATGGTGACATGGGCACTGTGGAAGTGATTTCCAAGGGTCAAAGGAATGGACGATGACAAAGAGCCACTCACTCTCAGGGATAGCAGGGGTGAGACTGGTGCTTAGCGTTGGAGGCAGCTCAACAGACGCTTTGCACCTCAAGCCTTTATGACCCAGGCCTGGCAGTTTCTTATCCTCCTTCAATCCATTTCCTGCAAAAGCCCCCCCCCCCTCCTCAAAAAGGCCAAGAAACACAATGCCTGCCGAGCGATAAGAATTCCACTGAGCCACATTGTGGCCCAGATCAGAGATGACCTGTGCCTGCCAATAGTGGGAGGCAGAGTGAGGGCAGTGTTACTGAGCATGCTCCGTCCATATAAGCTTGCTCAGAACACGCCAAGCAGCAAATCTAGGGAGCACGTGACCCTGCATGTCCATTCCCCCGTCCCGCCCCCCCAGCTCTGGCCCAGATCATGGAGCAATTCTCGGCACATGAGCCAGTTCAAAGGCAGCCTCTGAGCCATTCAGCCCTCTGTGGGGGAAGTCAGTTTTGTCATGCCATGACTGAGCCTTCAACCCCCTTCCAGTGACTCAGTGGGGTTCAAAGCCCTTCCTGGTTCAGAGGAGGGGGCAGGCACTTGGCTGCCGCTCAAGTGGACAGCAGGCTCCACGTCCTAGCTCCTGTTTAACAAAGATCATGCAAAGTGCCACGCAGTGGTGCCGGAGGGCAGCACACATGCAAGAGAAGCACAATGGCCAAGACAGCAATCCCTCCCCCAACCCCACCCCATTTTCTGACAAGCTATGGAGGGAACATCCTGCTACCCCACGCTGGCAGCTCGAAGGGAGATTTACTAGCCTCACAGGCAGAAGGGCTATTTACAGTTTCAGCCTCCTTCAGCACCTACCGGACTGGACTAGGGAAGATTCATGGCAAAAGCCCTGCAAGGGCTATTTTCAGACCACTCTGCCTACATGGCCTCTAGCTCTCACAGGTAGGAATACAATGTTGCTAGATTGACAATTCCTTCACTGTCCCGGGGCTGAGCTGTTTGTGTGCACGCAGCAGGAGCAGAGGAGACACCTCCAGATCAGGGAAGGTGCACCAGGAGTCTCACATTCGATTTTCACGTTGTTGTTTACCACTACCTCATTTGCAACGCATGCTCTGACCAAAAGTTACATTCTCCAGGCATCATAGAGAAAAGAGGCAGCAGCAACACTGAGGTACCATGCAAAAAGCAGCGATATTCAAGGAAAAGTTATGGATACAAGCATCAAATATCTAAACAGGTAAAATCCTCACTCCTTTCAAATACAGAGGATTTAAAACCACATCAATAAACAGCCTATTTGTAACGCAAACATACTTAGCTTCTTCCACCACTTCCACCTCAGCCTGTGCTGTGATTGGTGCATTGGAGTGTGCCCCTGTTGGGTCGTCAACATTCAGTTCTCCATTAGTCGAACTCACCACCTGAAACACAAAACAAAAGCAGCTAGTAATGAAGTCTTTTGGCAGGGTTAGTCAACAGCTCACAATTGAGTGGTAGGTCTGTCCCGACAATGGATACTGTAGGAAGAACATGTGAAACCTACAGCATGAATACAAGGCACTTTCGACTGTTTACTCCTTCCTTCTGGCCACGGTACACCCTCCTAGAAGTCTGTAGGATTCAATGAGACTTCCCACAGCAGTGACTGAGTGCCAAAGTAGGCCTGTTCTCTACAATACGTTCTCCACAGTGCTCGTTTTTAATGGATCAAATGATGGGACTTCCATTGCTTCCTTTGGGAGGCTGCACCACAATGTGTCTCATATTCAAACTAAATTTTTCCTCGTTTCATCCCATGACTCCTACTTCTGCCCTTGTAATATCTGGTTACGTGGGACATTTCTGCTGAATATTTCTCCCCCAAACACTTTTACAGCAGATTTTTCTAAAGTCACCAACTTCTGAGTCCCAAGCTTTTGACTCCCAGCAGCTAAGAAACAGCTGAAGAGGTCAATACAAAATAGGTCTAAGTGTTTTGACACTAGGTAGCAAGTTATCTTGTGGAGGCAAAATGGATTCCTTAGGACTTGGATACCAAACTGATAAAGGCACCGTCTGAATATGGTACACCAGGAGCCTGAGTGTCAGTATCTCCTCTGCCCTTGTCACTGCTGCTGATGGCAGAGGAACTGATTTGGGAACATACTCTACTTCATTTTCCTCAGAGAAGTGAATTCTTTTGCTTAAAATAATTTTCTTGTGGCAAGGTGTGTACTTGAACCCTAATTTCCATTTCCCTCCATATAATTCACATCATATGCTGCTCAACCATTCTCACCATTGGTGGTTTTAAAGCACCCAGTTCTCCAGCTCTTAAGAGTCCGAGATACTGTAGCCAGGAGAACAAGGAGGAGGTTCTGAGAAACTCAGTCACCATACTACAGCAGCTGCAACTATGATGACAATGATTATGGAACAGGTTCACTGAAGACCAGACTGTAGCTACACTGGTTGACCCTCCACACTCATCTGGAAAGCACCAAGGACTCTTGAGTACTACTGAAAACCTCTATAACTGCAGATTCTTGAAGTGACTACACATCCTGGCCAAGTGGTGAATGATGTATGATTGCTCCCACTCCTATTACCTTGTCAGAAGGCAAAGACAAAGTACCATGCTTACCACTTGCTATTATCCCACATTTAGGAAGAGTTAGAGATTGAGGGTGTAATGGTGATAACCAAGTCTGGGAAGTAGTGTGGCCTACGCTGCTGTCAGATGTCAGGACTCATGGTGTTACCAGGTACTTCCTGTTGGGCTGGGATGACCTGATCACCAGAGACATTAAGTGGGGTGGAGGGTGGCAGGCCCCACCCAACCTGTGCCTAAACACTTCCAAATTCAGTGCCTTTCCCAAGTGTTGCTTCTCCGCAGATGCTGACCCTGGTGCTATTTACGCCTTCTCTGGTGTTGCCTCTTCTGCTGCTACTCTGGAATGAGCTGATTTATGTAGGGCCTCAGCCCCCCCGTGCCTTGGAAGGTTTTGCTAAGGGTTAGTAGTTAATTGAAGCCAGCAGGGCCATCCCCTAGTTGTAATTCCTAGGGGCATGTCTACACTACAAACTTTTGCTGATGCAAGTGACATTGACACAAAGCCACCACAGGTAGTAAGTTAGCATATTGCTTGTGCAGGTGCATACTTGGCACCTTGTGTTGTCACAGCGTGTATTTGCCAGGAGTGCTTATGTCAAAGCACAGTGCAGTGTACCATGCGATGCACCATCCTGCTGTGCAACTCGCCACCTTCCAGTGCACTGTCTGTTTGGAAGTTTTGGCAATGCATGGTGGTCCAGAAATGAGTTGTGCAGGGGTGACTGGGAGCAAGGGGTCAAGTTCCCATCATGCAACTTTCTCCACCCCAAAATGTCATCTCTATCCCATAATTTTTGCACCTATTTTGAAAATCCCACAAACCCACATGTGACTCATCACTGTCTGCCATCTGTGAGAGAAGCATGCAGCCTGCACAGCTCTGTACTCTTGCCATGAGTGTTGCAAGCACAAGACACACTGATCCTTCAGTATTTGCAGAGTCGCAAGAAGAGCCATGGGAAACAGGGTGATTTCCTGGAGGTCAGATTGCGGTGGGACATAATGAGAACCAATTCAAGATTGTTGGTGGTGCTCAAGGAGCAGTTGCAAACAGTGGATTGTCACTTCTGGGCCCAAGAACTGGGCACTGGCTGGTGGAATCACATGTAATGGAGGCTTGGGATGACAGCTGCAGAACTCTCAGATGTGCAAGGATCAGTGTGCCAAGCCCGCCCCAGCCCTCCAGTGCAGAGACACCAAAATGAGAGCTGCACGGACAATGGAGAAGCGAGTGGTGATGGCACGATGGAAACCTGCAATGCTGGATTGCTACCGGTCAGTGGGAAATCATTTTGGAGTTGGAAAAGCCACTGTGGGGGCCATTTTCATGCAAATTAATCATCTCCTGTTACGCAAGACTGTGACTCTCAGCAATGTGCAGGATATAGTGGATGAATTTGCAGCAAAGGGGTTCCCAAACTGCAGCAGGGATGTGTACACATCTCTCTATTTTGGCACCTGACCGCCTTCCCACAGAGTACATCAACAGAAAGGGCTGTTGGATCCCCGGGAACCTTTTACCAACATCAGGGAAAGTGCAAGACACTCACATCTTTAGGAACACAGGACTGTTCAGAAAGCTACAAGTAGGGACTTTCTTTCCTGACGAGCAGATTACCATTGGCAATGTTGAAATGCCAGCAGTGATCCTGTGGGATCCAACCTACCTCTTACTCTCTTGGCTCATGAAGCTGTACACCAGCCATTTGGACAGCACGAAGGAAAGATTCAACTATTGGCTCGGCAGGTGCCAAATGACAGTTGAATGCACTTTTGGTAGACAAAGGGGGATGGCATGGTTTACTCAAAAGACTGGATCTTAGTGAGAAAAATATCCCAATGGCTATATCTGCCTCTTGTGTCCTGCACAATATCTGTGAGGCAAAGGGGAAAAGTTGCCACTGGGGTGGAGGTGGAGCAGCTGTCTGCTGAATTTGAACAGCCCAATGCAAGGGCTATCATAACAGCTCAGTGTGCAGCTACATGGCTCAGGGAGGCTTTGAAAGAGCACTTTAATGGCAAGTCACAGTTGTGGTGGACTGTGCTCTACCTAGGCCTGAAGTTTGGGGCCTCTTAGGAATTGTGTAGTGCTTGGTGCACACCTATGAATAGAACACTGACAAAGTACCTCTGTGATACTTGCTGTACATTTATGATTATTACACTCTTTGTCACTGATCCTGTGAATTGTGTCACAGTAAAGTAAGTGGATGCCTTTGATACCACCAGTCATTCTGCAACATATGTTGGGAACTAATAAAGATGAATTATTTTCCAAACAAGAGAGTTTTATTGAGTAACAAACACACTTCAAAACTTCTGTGCACGTTAAAAGCAAATTAATAAATTTAGTAGGATTTTAATGTAACAGAATTTAACAAAAGGAAAGGAACATTCATGTCCATTTTGGTTACGCACGCATCATCCGTGGCTCTCACAGATCAGCGTATGTGAAGCTTTGTCACCTTTACTGTCCCTTGGTGTGCCATAGTAGGGGTAGGGTCTCTGATGCCATGTGAAATATTGGGGGGGGGGGGGCATAGGGAGATACTATATTGGAGTTCTCCATGGACTGCAAAGGGAGGCAAGCCTGGGACTACTGAAACTGTAGATTCACAGGAGCCTGTATTATCTGTGTTTGCAGCAGAAGCCCCATTATAAACTGGTGCAACTTCCTCTGACTCTGGGGCCTTTCTCCTCTCAGCTCTTTCCTTCTCCAGGCTATCTGCAATATTCATCCTCCAGGTCCTCTGCTGGCAGCCTGATGCAGCACTGACTTGCAGGATCTTGCTGAACATGTCATCCGAGTCCTCTTCTTTCTCCTCCTTATCTGACTCAGGCATTCTGAGAGTGTGGAGGGGATCCCTTGAAGGCTGCAATGGCAGCAGCTACAGATAAAACATAGAGGTACCAAAGTCACAACAAAAAGCGAAAGTTAAGATACAGATCTCCCTTCCTGTGCATGCCTGAAGTTTTAAACAAGACATGCTTATCGACACCTCTGCTTCGGAGTGCTTGTGCACAGCTCCATGCACAGATCCTGCTGTGATGACTATAGCCTGCCAGGGGTGAGGGAAATGAGGAAGGAATTGCTCAGTTGCATGAAATGATGAGTAACAAGATATTGGCACTGAATATTGGCACTTTTTCCACAGGGGATCCTGAGGGTAGCAGGCACAGAGAACACAGCTGCTGCTGGCGTCCTGAAGCCACCCTGGCCTGTGTGCTGCTAGCCTGTGTACTGCAATGGTGTCTGCTGAAGTTATTGTTGACTGGTGAGGGAAACCGTCCTACTGTGGAGGAAGAAATAAGGCTGCCATCCCCAGAAAACTGCTGGAGAGGATTGCAAAGGACCTGCATGAAAGTTTCATTGAAATCTCTTAGGAGGATTCAAGAGACATCCCTAGGTACATAAACTGCTCTTCATGGCCCTCTGCCTAACTGTACAGGGGAATGAAAAGCAGATAATGTTACCTGGCTTAATTGTACTGCTGCCTCTTCTAGTACCAGTAAATTAATGAAAAGTCGATAAACTGTGTCCTGCTAAGTTGGGGGTTCCAGCAGAGTAATGGGAAATAAATTTACACACTTTTCCTTCCCCTTCATCAAGCTTGCCCCTGCTTGACTGCCAGGACTGGCTGGAGTGCAGTGGAGTCAGAAACAGGTCTTGGGTCATGGCATAACTAGACCCCTCAGTCGCATGTCCCCCATCCTCCTCCTCCTCGTCTTCACTGTTCACGTCAGGGGCCTGAGACTCAGGCTCCTCAGAAGTATCCATGGTGGCATGTGGGGTGGCAGTGGGGTTTCTGTCAAGTATGGCATTATGTTCTTTGTAAATGTGGCAGGTCTGTGGCTTAGCTCTGGATCAAAGGCCTCCGTGACCTTCTGGTATGCCTGCCGCTGCTCCTTTGCTTTCACATGGCACTGCTGCTGATCCCTGTTATACTCCTTCTCCTGCACCCCTTGTGCAATCTACTCTGAGATGTCCACGTTTCTACAGCTGGTCTGTAGCTGCGCTTGCACAGTCTCTTCTCCTCACAGACCCAGGAGATCCAATATGTCCTGTTTACTTCAAGCCAGAGCACGTCTGGAGCACGTAACCATCATGGTCAGCTGGGCAGTTGCACACAACAGTGGAGAGCTGCTAGGTGTGCTCACCAAGCTGGACAATCAGGAAAAGGCATTTTAAAAATCTGCAGGGCTTTAAAGGATGGGGGGCCTTCTGGTCTCCGTGACTCCTGGGCAGTGAAGTTCACAACTGTGCCCAGAGTGATCAGTGCCAGACATTGTGGAACAACTTCTAGAGGACTCTTACGGTTGACACAGATTATGTAGCATCTACATTCAAGCTACTTCAACTTCAATACATCAACCATGGCTCAACACTGCTTAGAGAGGTGGTGTTACTATGTCGATGGAAAGGGAAGCCTGGTGTGAGACAAATTTAAGTGTCAACTAGGTCAATGCGAGGTAGCTTATGTCAACCTAATTTTATAGCATAGACCAGGCCTAGGGCAGTTACACTTTCTGCAGATGCTTTTCATTAAGCCTAACTTCTCAATGGGCTTGGGTTTTCTCTTTGTTTTTTACCCAGTAACAATTTACTTTGTCACACATGGCAAATTCCTTCCAGGAAAAACAGCTGCTGTTCAAAAACTGACCCCCTAGAAGACCCAGAGATCACCAGGCATCAGTTGAGGAACTCTTTAGGTGGCCATGATACAGGAATGAGAGTAGATGATGTTTATGGGCACAGCGGAGCAGCTCTGATTTCCACTAACAGGTAATGTAGAATCACAGGGCTAGAAGGGACCGCAGGGGTCATCTAGTCTAATCCCGGGAAAGATGCAGGATTTACAGAGTCTAAACCATCCAAGACACATGGCTATCCAGCCTTCTTTTGAAAATCTCCAGCGAAGCAGCTTCCACAACTTCCCAAGGCAGTCTGTTCCATTGTCCTACTGTTCTTACAGTTGGGAAGTTTGTCCTGAGATTTAATCGAAATCAGGTAGAGATTTAAGGGTTGGCCACATGATGGAGGAAGTCTCTGCAGAGATTAAGAGGCTGCAGTGACTAAGGGGTTGGCTACACAGGGAAATTTACTGGCATAACTATATTGGTACGATTATATCAGTATAGCTATACTAGTATAATGCTTCCTGTGGACACTCCTATTTCAGAGTAAAAGTGCCTTTTTTCAGTTTAGCTTATATCACTTTCAGACAGACAAGCTAAACTGGCACTTTTACTCTGAAAACAGCACTTTTACTCTGAAATAGGAGTGTCCACCCAGGATATACCACTGGTATAGCTGTAGTGGTATAATGTATGTCTATACATTTTCCTTGTTTAGACAAATGCTGAGTCAATGTAGAACAGAGCCACATATATCCTGCAGACACTAATTCCTCATCCCAGCTTTCAATTTCTCAGGTGCCCAGAGAATTCTCTAAGTGAAAAGATGCACTAAAATGCTGGACTATAAAATACAAGCATCAGCAGCAAAGATTTATACCTCAGCAAGAACTGGTATTAAAGCTGCAAGCAGTCTTTCCACACAGAAGTTCTTGGGAAGCTTGAAAGTTTATAGATCTCTTAGTGCACACCTAGAAAGGGGACTTACAAGCATGCCATATAGCGTAAGAGTCACGTCATGGCCAGTCTGGCTGAGACCTGCATGTGGAGAATAATACCATCCTACCCAGGAGGAGACTTCCGTAAGCAATGATTAATTAACTGGTGGTATTACTCTCTCAATAGAGTCTGTAGTTTGCACTTTCAATTGGGATTCTACAGCATTCTGAGAGCTCTAGGAAATAACTTCACTTCAGAATCATTCTTCAGCCAGTGAGAGACCCTATGAGCTATTTTGGCTGGTGAGAAGCAACACCTTTAAAATACCTCCTGAAGGAGGATGCAAAGGATTCTGTATGGCACAATCATAGCCATGTGTGTAGAAGAACTGTATTTGGCATTTGACAAGTGTTTACTCTGTGCTACCCATAGTACCCTACCTAGAAGGTAGGAGGGAGAAGAACAGCACGCAGTTCCACAAACCAGCATACCAATCCTTTATGACTGAATATTCAAATAGCATTTTTGTAAAACACCCTCCCTATATCAGCATGAATTAAGAACAAACTAGTTCACTGTGCGATGTGTATAACGCTTCTGAAGAATTTTCAAAAAGTAACAAGGCTCAATTCCTCAAAGGCTCAGACCTCTCTCACTCCCTCCAGTTCTGGCACACACCATGGAAGAAATCTCCTCACATTCACTTCTATACATCCAGTTCATATGGCCAAGCCACAGCTTGTGTTACAGAAACCAGAACTGAACATGCCAAGCAGCTGTCACCTAACAGCCATGGCTAAAAACCACGAAGGAATTCAGTTCACCACTAAAACGAGCATTGATGGTACACGGCTCTCCTTATGCTTTAATGGCTTGTGTTCCTTCGTTTTAGATATAGAGGCCAGGAGGAGGCTGCATTAAATGCATTTTGCACTGATTCCTCCCTGTCACTAGTGTAATAAAGCTAATCTTAGCTAGGCTGGAAGGCAGTAAGAGATAGCTGATTTATGAAAAAGAAAATTCTTTTCCACTGATTCAGAACTACGGAGTTGTGCATAATGTTAACCTTTATAGTGTTTACTACTGTTACTCATTCCATCTTCATTACCACAGTTTATTACGTCGCTTGTTGCATCCTAGCTCTTAAGCAGCCACAGCTCCTGCCCCAAAGAGCTTACACTTTACATTTGTACGACACTTAGCACAAATGGGCCCCGACCCTGACTGGGACCTTAGGCTGCTTCTCAAATACAAACAAACAATTATGAGGTAACACATTGGGGAGCTGGAGAAATAAAGTCAATAGAACCTCAACGTAGCATCACTGGCTGTGATGCCATTTAGTGACAGTATTTAAATGAGCTTCTCTCATCAGTCTGAAGGGAAAAGTAACTGTACATCTTCCTCCCACTAGCCATTCTACAGTCCATCACTACAGTCAACCCAGTGATGCCCCTGGATATATCTCATATCGGATGCATTCAACCATCTGCTCAGATACAGTCTACATATAAAAACTGAAGAAGAGCAGTAACTTTTCCTAGCACTTTTGTGTTTGTATGCAACAACCCACTTCGTTTTATGTCAATTGTCAGTTATATACCTAATTATGTTTTATAGCTTAATTACATCATTTTGGAGAGTTGTATAGTCAGTACACAATCCCATTCCGTATTCTCTCCACTAGTTATGAGTGTAAACAGGAATAGAATTTCTTCATATACACTAAACTGTGATTAACAGTTTATCTGACAATCAAGTTTTGGTAGATAGCTCCATGTATCTTATTTTAAATAATTCCTGGTTGAAAGATATTGCAGGGACTGTAGCAGTAAGCGGAGTTGACCAGTCATTGGTCCTCTTGGGTGTCATGAGACTGTAGTTTAAGCATTAAGCTACTGCAGGACAGGGCTTGTCTGCTTGTGAAGAGCACCCAAAAAGCACAGTTGCTTCTGAGTGCACACAGCTCTCCTGATCACAGGAATATTGTAGCTGAGATTCAATGAGACTTCAGGAATTTTAAGCAGATTCTAATGGCAAAGCTGTGCAGGTCAGGAAGAGGTAATACCTGTACTGATCCCCCATGCCGGTCTGCAGCCAAGTGAGATGTCAGGTACGAGGTATTTGTCTGCCGGCTTGGTTGGATCTCCCACTCTCCTCGGCGGTCTGATGATGCTGTCTGCTCAGGCATTCAGAAGCATGACAGCAAGAGATGGAAGGAAAGATAAAGGTGAGCCCAGGCAAAGCAATGAAAATATATTAGTTAGTGGGGTTAGTTCACTGAAAAAAGCAAGGCATTTAAAGAACATTTAGGTTGGTTAAAAGTTCATTTTACCAAACACATTGCACGCTTGAGAGCAGTAAGTGTTGGAGAGGATTAATTCAACCCAGCAAATGGAGAAATAAATTTTCAGAAAACATCTGAGCTACTTCAGTGTGGGTTCTGTTTAAATATTTTGACAAAGGAATTTATAAACTAATGAATGGAACTGTAACGTACTTTTAACTAGGCCTGTCAGGACACAGACGCTACAGCTTGTCTGCAGTGGGGTCAGACACACAAATCCAGCCTCCACAGGACATAGGGCTTTTGAGCCCAGGAGCCCAAACTACAAGATGTCTGATGAGAAACCACGTTTATTATACCAGGAGCTGGTTTCAAAACACACCCAATAATGCAGAAAGAAATGTGCTCAAAAGTTTTCACACCTACTTTGCAAAAGTGTGAGTTTTGCCTGAAAACATGCCCTAGTAAATCAGAAGTTGTTATAATGTTCTCTTCTTCCAAACGGAGACAAAAAGTACTAAACTAGTCAAACAGGTCAAAGCCATTGCTTTCAGCTATCATTACTTAGCAGGAAAGTTTCGTAGGCTCTGGCTACACTATGAGGCTTTTAGCGACACAGCTGTGCTGTTACAGCCATGCTGCTAAAAGGCACACAGTGTAGCTGCTGTTTGTTGAGAGCTCTACTGCTGACAAAAAACTTCCACCCCCTCTGAGTGGCAGCAGCTTTGTCAGCAGGAGAGTGCTCCTGCCAACAAAGTGCTGTTCACACTGGTGCTTTTTGTCTGTAAAACTTTTGTCTTTGGGGGGGGGGGGAGTTTGGGTTTTTTTTAACACCCCTGAGCAACAAAAGTTTTGCCAACAAAGTGCCAGTGTAGACAAACCCTTAGCTACTCCTGAAACGTCAAGTATTAGCCACTAAAACAGAAGAAACAATGGCTTGCTCCATAATGGTAAATGATATGTTCCCATAAAAACAAAGGTCTTCTCTATGCAATATGTGGCCAATGCATCTATCTAACCGTGGGAACTATTAAACCAGTGTGTTAAACAAAAGTAAAAAAAGCATCAGTAAGGAAAAAGAGAAGGACTGGTTGGAGAGAAGAATGGAACACTATTGGTACACACTCCATCTAAACAATCAGGGAACATACAGAAAAACTGACCTCTCTCAGTGCTTTTCATATACCTTTGCAGAAATTAATATACTGGACAGTGGAGTTCACAAAGCGTAACTTTTGGGAAGAGAGATACAAGCTACATCTAAAGACTAATACAGCACAAAGAGTAGACTCTTTGCCGGGTCACATGCTCTTTCTGCCCCAAGTGCAATCAGTACCTCTCACAAAGTAGAACTAGCTCAAATTAATGGTGAGAGACTGTTGTGCTTGGCATCCGCTTATAAATATAGCGCTTTAATAGGAAGCTTAATTCAGCTATCTGAACAATAGAGATGGAACGTTCTCTAAACTGGAGAGACTAATTCAAATACTTCTCAATGCTCTCAGGGCTTGTCTACAGGAACATAATTTGTGGCCAACTGGCTGTAAATTTACACTGCATTAGTGTACAGCATACTAAGTGCCCATGTGGACACTACTGCTGGGCACTAGAAGTTCCCTAGTGCACTTTAATCTACTCTCTTTCAAAGTGGTGTAGATCAAAGTGCACTAAGGAGCTTCTAGTGCACAGCAGCTGGGGCCACTTGGACACTCAGCATGCCATATGTGAGCGTGGCCTTCATTTACATCCCAGCTTGCCCTGAACTAAGCATTCATTTAGACCAGTGGCTCTTAACCTTTCCAGCCTACTGTACCCCTTTCAGGAGTCTGATTTGTCTTGCATAACCTCAAGTTACATTTCACTTAAAAACTACTTGCTTACAAAATCAGAAATCAAAATACAGATGTGCCACACCACACATTACTGAAAAATGGCTTACTTTTTCATTTTTATCATATAATTATAAAATAAATCAATTGGAATATAAATGGTGTACTTCCATTTCAGCGTATAGTATATACAATAGTATGAACAAGTCATTGGCTGTATGAACTTTTAGTTTGTACTGACTTTGTTAGTGCTTGTTATGTAGCCTGTTGTAAAACTAGGCAAATATTTAGATGAGCTGATGTACTCCCTGGAAGACCTAGGTGTACCCCTGGTTGAGAACCACTGATTTAGACAAGCACACAGCAGTAGACTACATGACAAGTCAGCCAATGAAACACCCGTTAGCTGTATTATTATCACCACAAAACACACACACACACACACACACACACACCAGTGCTACTTGGGCAGGACACTTGGTATTCCTTTCATGAGTGTCACATACACCATAGGGCTTCAAAATGTATAGACCTGAGACTAATTTGTATTTGATTTGCTCAAGTTATATGGTTTCCATCCTCTCTCTCTTCAATGAGGAAAAACAAACAAGGCTCTGGACTTTCTGAACTTATGTTGGTTCTGTGGAGGTAGTAGTGGACTGACTGCACATATCTGAAGCAGTGAGGGTGTTGGCCATATGTGAAATCTCAGACAAAGATGGTAGAATACTTTCTTGTTCTGATATGAAATGTGACTAATACTGATGTAGGTGAGGAATGCTGAGACGAAGTCCTGAGCAGAGAGCTGAGACTGAGGTCAACTGATGTCTAAGGCTTGAGTTTTCAGATTCCCATAGCATATGGACAATTAAGCAAAACTTTATTTATGAAAAGTGAAGGTGAATGACAAAGGTGCAGTTGAAAATGCACGAGAACCAGCACTAGTTCAAAGAGGACAAATGAACTCACTGTGCACCTGAAAAAAAACAGTCCGGAAACAAAAGATCGGGGTTAACAGCTCAGACTGCTGTTGCCTGAAGCTGGAGGAGCAGGGGAAGACCTCTTTGAAAGCCATCTATTGAGTATGCTGTGATTCACAATTCACAGAATCAAGAGGTCTGGTTTGAAATACTCTTGGATTCTGTTGTGAGATAAACAGATGGATATTATTGTACAGTTTGGTTTTGGACGACACAGCTGTAAGAAACTTGCTTCCCCATGCTCAAGCCCTAGGGGGTTATGCTCTCCAGTATGCACTCCAGTATGGGGTGAAAGGAGAAGGCTCGTGCCAGAAGAATTGACTGAAGAGGATATTTTACTCTAGTGTCCAGAAAAAGTTAACACTCTCATTACGGATTTATTGGCAGAAGAGAGTCTGGGGAGACGCTACTTCCCTGGGCAATGCCCTGGGTAAGTTAAAAGTTGCATGTATTACTAGTCTTGTGGGGGTTTTCCTCCCAAAACTTGAATGAACTATTTGCAGTTTCCTCGAGAAGTGGCAATATGGAGCCGATAAAGACATGCACCTCAGGAGTCTTCCCCTAGGACTCAAAGTACTTCTGAAAGGGATCAAGTGGCCAGGAGTGTTTGAATTTTAAAAACATTGTGGAGACTCTAAGGGTACATCTACACTGCATTAAGAGACCTATGGCACCGAGTCTCAGAGCCCGGGTCTGACACTGGTGGGACAGAGGGCAGGGTCTCAGAGCTCAGGAGCTAGCACAAGACTTAACATCTACACTGCTACTTTTAGTGCCACAGCCTGTGTCCCAGAAGCCTGACTCAATTGACCCGGTGCCACAGTTTTTTCTGTGCAGAGCAGACCTCCACTCAGATTTTCCCCTTTATGAAGTTACTGGCATAGAACAGTCTGGGGAAGCAATGCCACCCTTCCTCCTCCACCTCTCCGGGGCTGAAGGAGGTCATATTAGCTTATATGAATGGAACGCCTTTTATCCCAATACACTTTATAGCAGTGATTCCTAATGGTCTTAACTGGAGTCTCCCTGGGACACAAACAACTGGGAATACCCCCCACCCCATGCTGTTATCACCTTTTCTCCTGTCCATTTCATAGAATCATAGAATATCAAGGTTGGAAGGGACCTCAAGAGGTCATCCTGTCCAACCCCCTGCTCAAAGCAGGACCAATCCCCAACTAAATCATCCCAGCCAGGGCTTTGCCAAGCCTGACCTTGAAAACCTCTAAGGAAGGAGATTCCACCACCTTCCCTAGGTAACCCATTCCCGTGCTTCACCACCCTCCTAGTGAAAAAGTTTTTCCTAACATCCAACCTAAACCTCCCCCACAGCAACTTGAGACCATTACTCCTTGTTCTGTCATCTGGTACCACCGAGAACAGCCTAGATCCATCCTCTTTGAAACGCCCTTTCAGGTAGTTGAAAGCAGCTATCAAATCCCCCCTCATTCTTCTCTTCTGCAGACTAAATAATCCCAGTTCCCTCAGCCTCTCCTCATAAGTCATGTGCTCCAGCCCCTAATAATTTTTGTTGCCCTCCGCTGGACTCTTTCCAATTGTAGTGCGGGGCCCAAAACTGGACACAGTATTCCAGATGAGGCCTCACCAATGTCGAATAGAGGGGAATGATCATGTCCCTCGATCTGCTGGCAATGCCCCTACTTATACAGCCCAAAATGCCATTAGCCTTCTTGGCAACAAGGGCACACTGTTGACTCATATACAGAAAGGCCGAGAACCTAGATATTACATCCTCTGCCCACTCTCCCCCACCCCAACAGGAGCCTCTCATCCTTTTCTGTCTGTTCTCCACTCCCTTCCCTCATCTTCTTGTTTCTTGCTTATTCCTTCTCTCTCTCTCTCTCTGATGTGTATGTTGCTTCATGCTGCTGGCGATGATCTTCTCTGTCTCCTCTCGTGCTTGCTCCCCCACCCTAGTTTTTATTTATATTGCAGACATACCAGTTAGGGATAGAGGCTTCATTGTCCTAGGCACTGTGCAAACCACAGAAAGACACTTCCTGCCGCAGAGAGCTTAAAATGGAATTACTACCAAGCATCATGCTGATCGGGGTGCAGATGT